ACTCATAACCCAGGCAACAACCCCCATGGAATCACCATCTATCCTTGGAAGAATGGCAAGCTCTTAGCATGGAACTATACCAGTGTGTCGACTCTGGCTGACACCTACATCCATCAGTGTTGGGCGACAGGGAGGAGCTGCTGATCACTGGGAGGAGTACAAGATCGGCAATTACAGGGAATTAAGCCAACAGTATCAGTTTGTCCCAGTGGGATCAGAGACCTTGGGATCATGGGGAGAAAATGCCACACGTTTCCTTAAAGAACTCGGTTCCAGACTCATCAACACCACCAGGGACCCAAGGGCAGCCATTTTCATGTTCCATCGCCTCAATGTAGCCATCCAGAGGGGAAATGCCAGCTGCATACCGGGCTCGCGTCCGGCTTCGGAGGAACTGGAGGAGATTCATAATCTTTGATATATTGTATCAATGTATTCATGTTTGTGTTTTCTGTCAATGTATTCTGTCTGTTAATAAAGTTCACGTAAGATATAGAATATAGGGGGTGGTAGGAGAAGAAAATATTCAAACAGCTCCGGAGAGAACCTTGAGTTTTCCCTGAAGTACGTTTATTGTCTTCTCTGAGGATGAGGGTCCCCAGTCCAGTTATAGAGGTGGTACCTCTATAGCTGGTACAATACCGACAAGATGAAATTAAGACACATGTGCAACATCTGGGTATCTTTATTGTAGACGTTTCGCCATCCAGTGGCTTTATCAATACAAATTCCAGGACATAACTTAAGACAGTAGAAATATATACAGAAGATGAGGTAATCAGTCCCTCAACCTTGGAGTTGGTGCGAAGATCACCGTAGTCGTAGAGATTCTGAAGCAGAAGCAAGGAGCCTGACGCTTATATACTAACGTCAGGTGGAAGTGGGACGTGTAGCAGACGAGGGCATAGTCACTGGTAGGCGGGATTCCCCAGTGGAAGTAGGTCCTTCCCAAAGAGATGGGTTATTTGTTATAGTAGTTGTCGTAGTCGTGAAGGTTATGTACATGTCCTCAGAATCAAGGTTGAGGGACTGATTACCTCATCTTCTGTACATAGTCCTACTGTCTTCAAGTTATGTTCTGGAATTTGTATTGATAAAGCCACTGGATGGCGAAACGTCTACAATAAAGATACCCAGATGTTGCACATGTGTCTTAATTTAATCTTTTATATATATATATTTTATATATATATATATATATATATATATATATATATATATATATATATATATATATATATATATAAATATATATATATATATATATATATATGCAAAACAACCACTCTGAAAGAATAGAGAAATTCCAAGCGCTTTCGTGACTACTCACATTATCAAGGAACTGTTCCTTGATAATGTGAGTAGTCACGAAAGCGCTTGGAATTTCTCTATTCTTTCAGAGTGGTTGTTTTGCATATTCTGAAATCACCTGTTTACTGTGATCTTATTGCATATATATATATATATATATATATATATATATATATATATATATATATATATATATATATATATATATATATATATATATATATATATATATATATATATATATATATATATATATATATCGTGCTGAATATACCAAACCGCCGAGTTTGACATTTAAATAAAGATGTAAACTTTGGATAAAGGATATCTGTCGTCGATTCAGATTGAAGGGGACGCTGAGATATTGGAATATGTGAGTGGGAAGGTGAAGAAGTAGGGGCAGTAAGAGATGATTATGTTGGAACCTCAGAGCCCAAGACTCTAAAAGGGTTGGATTGAAAGTTGACTGGAAGAGGCACAGAGGCAATTGTGGAAGCAGGCAACACCGAGGTGTGGGGTTGTCTAGCGAACCTGGAATAAGAGAGCAGTGGGAGTCTCCCCTGGAGGCGGAGATTGGAAACTACCATGGCGAAAGAGAAACCCTCTTTCTCTTTAAAACAACGGAGCTCCTTATATCTTAAGAAAATCGGGCAACGGTGAGAATAGGCCGTGTGCCCCTCTTTACAGTTAAAGGCATGAGATGATGGCTGCTGTGGTCGGCTGCACCACAAACAAGGCACTCTGCCTCTGACCTGCAATATTTTGTTGTGTAGCTAAAGCGTCTCCGCCCTCGGGCAGAGAGACTCAGGAGCACGAGTGGCCCCACATTGTCTTCATTACACGCGAGAAAATCGCGTTGTACGATCATATGTGGAAGAGCAATAGATTTACAGAAAGAATTAAGGGACATGTGTTTGCGAATCGTAACTCGTGTGTTGTCAGCACGTCTAGAAGTGAAAGATTATGTGCCTGTTCTGCATTCCGTACTATGACAACGCGTATGACTATGTTCAGCGTGGCGAAGGAGTGCCTTGCTGATGCTGTGCTCGGAAAAATGGTCATAATAATAATAATTATCTATTTCTACACGTACATGTACATTATCCAGAGCATTTCAGGCAAATTAAGTTAGTTTTGTCCCAGGATGCGACCCACACCAGTCGACTAACACCCAGGTACCCATTTGACTGATGGGTGAACAGGGACAGCAGGTGTCTTATGGAAATATGTTCTAATGGTTTCCAGCCGTACCCGGGGATCAATTCCCGGACCTCAGTGTGTGAGCTGAGTGCGCTAGCAATCAAGCTACAAGTAGCTGGTGTGTAAAGAATTTCGTCCAAGAAGGACTTTGAAGCATAGATTGTAAGGGGATGAATTTCTTAGACGTTTCTTAGGAGCGTGAGAGGAAGCTGAGGTAGGGTCTTCAGTGAGAGGTTGAGTACGTTTGGATGTAAAGTTAGAAGTAGGTCGTCCTGAGTAGTGTGTATGATTCGAAAATTGACGCACAGAATTGGAGAAGCCGAGATCATTATCAAAGCCGCGCGGAGGTCAGAAGTGTCTAGAGGGTCGGTTGGAACCACGGCACCAGAGGAGCGTAACGGAACATTACGCGAAGGGTTAGAAGAGAGGTCCGAAGGCGTGGCAGGGTGTGTAGAGGGTGCCGCAGGTAAAGGCCCTGGAGGACACAGGTCATGGTTATGGGTCTCCATGATAAGTTTCTTCTTTCTGTTTATTTAAAAAAAGGGGGTGTGGGAATGTGGAGGGATACCTCCCATTAGGAATGAAAGGATCATATATCCCACTTCACGCAGCCAGCAGCGAGAGATGTGGCGTGGAACCCGTGCCACACCCTACCTTTCATGCTGGTAAATAACGTGGTACTTCATTGTTCCTGGTCCTGCTGACACATGTTTCTGGCGCCACAGACGCATGTTGCTTTCCCGATGGTGCATGTTGTCCCTGCTGATGCATGTTGTTGACATTGCTGAAGCACGTTGCTGCCCCTGCTAAGGCACGTTGCTGCTCCAGCCTCCCACCAGCCATAAGGGGCATTACCAATAGACCCCTGGTTGTCTTCAAGACAGAGCTGGACAGATTAAATCAGTAGCAGATCAGCCGAGCTGTGGTTCGTACGTTGGACTAAGTACGGCCAGCAGTAACAGCCTCGTCGATCAAGCCCTGATCCACCAGAAGGCCTGGTCATGGACCGGGCCGCGGGGGCGTTGATCCCCGGAATGCCCTCCAGGTAGACTCCAGGTAGGTAGACAGAATAACCTTGAATGACTCATTCGGAAATTTCAAACATACTAAATTTTGACTCTTATTTTTGGAGTGACACGTCATCTTCATAAGTGGCTTCTGCCTCCTTGGCTTTATCGAAATGTATGAGAAAAGATAGAGAAGCGGGATATCAATGTTACAAAGGTGGCAGAGGGTGGGAATGATGGTAATGGGAGTCAATGATGGTAGTGGAAGCCAATGGCGTTAGAGAGTGTGAATGGTGTAGATAAATGGTATAAAATACCAATACGATGGAGAAACAGACACCAGTGTATTATAACGGAACATTTTTTGACTACGTTTCAAACACACACTGGGCTTTATCAAGTTGCAAAAAGATCTGTCTGGGTGAAGAGTATATGAGTATATATATAAGGTGGAGAATGTTGGGTAGCCCTCCCAACATTCCCCACATGACTCTTCACCATATATATACTCTACCCGGGTCACATCACTGCAAATCTACCACCATTATGACAGGCGACGTTAGGTGTTCACCACTTCTCCAGAGAATCTCCTGAGTCGTTCTGGCACTCGTGCTGCGGCCTGAGTGCCAGAAATACCTCGATTGGAGTTAAAAGAGTCACCGCGCCCTTGTCATAGGGCTGCCCCACCACTTGACACTTGACCACTTGACATGAATGATCACAGTGGGAATGCTCAAGACAACTGCATGACTCACTCCTCCTCTGTAGAGCGAGGTCAAGTTGAGATGAAGTGAGCACGTCAATGCAGCCGTGACCAAGGACCTCCCCTACAACCCTGCCTGCAGCTTACGTGCTGCTGTCTTGTGATTAAGACCCGTACCAGGTCATGCACTGGCAAACATTACCTGGAGTTTACCTGGAGAGGGTTTCGGGGGTCAACGTCCTCGCGGATCGGTATGAAACCAGGTGGATCAGGGTCTGATCAACCAGGCTGTAACTGTTGACTGCACGCAAACTGACGTACGAACCACAGACCGATTGGTCAGGTACTGACTTTAGGTGCCTGACTGGTGCCTTCTTGAAGACAGCCACGGGTCTATTGGTAATCCCCCTTATGTATGCTAGGGGGCAGTTGAACAGTCTTGGGCCCCTGACACTTATTGTGTTGTCTCTCAGTATACTCGTGGCATCCTTGCTTCTCATCGGGGGAATGTTGCATTAAGCAACAAACATCTGCCCAGGTAGATCTGTTAGTGACCCGATAAAGTCCACTTCGCTTTATACTGCATCGTGAAGGATGTGCAGAGTGTGAATGGTGTCAGAGGATAATGACGGTAGATAATATAAGTAGTGATAGAGAGTATGAGTAGTGGTAGAGGTGATGAGTTGTGGTAGACTGCTGAAATGCTAATGTGAAGTAACTGTAGGCAATATATTACCATTTCAAAATATGAACATTTTATGAAGCAAGAGAATACTAACCTGGGAGGTGGAGCATACTCCCATGATCAATGATCTGCAACAAGGAAAAAATATTATAATTTTATTTTAGAATTATCGATACATATACACATATGTTTTCTGGTTTATTGCGTCGTGTTGGTAGCGGGAAGTAATGATAAGGTTTTGGAGGCTTCTTTCTTTATTTGTGGTATCTGGGTACACAGGCAGTGTGTTAGTGCCCTAGCTCCGGAGGGGCCATGCCCGCGAGGGAGAGAGGAGTAGGCCTTGTTGACTGTGTGAAGGATTAACGCCGAGTGAGAGAGAGGCAGGGTGATGCTGTTTCAAGTGGCATACCCACTGAGAGGCCTACAGGTGACAGCACGAGCATGGCACAAAATATGAACTCAGGTGGCAGACAGCATAGGATGTCTATGCAGACAGTACAGGCTCTCTACATTCGCTCGGCCACACACCACCATGGTCATCCTCGACCATGACTGGCGGTAAAAAAAACTCGGTCTCTCTCTCGCAGGAACAGGGCACAAAACACAGAATAAAAAACATATATATATATATATATATATATATATATATATATATATATATATATATATATATATATATATATATATATTATATATATATATATATATATATATAATATATATATATATATATATATATATATATATATATATATATATATATATATATATATATATATATATATATATATATACATACATACATATGGACATGAAAAAAAAAACTTCCTACAGGGCGGGAAGAAAAAAACAGGTGGAGTGTGCTAAACATCGTGGTTATAGGCAGTGAGCGTCGATGGGCATCACTGCACGCCTTCCTGGGTCTGCACAGATACTGCAGCACAGGAGATATCGCTGCGGCTGAGCTACCTGGATACCTGGAGGTTACCTGGAGGTTATTCCGGGGATCAACGCCCCCGCGGCCCGGTCCATGACCAGGCCTCCCGATGGATCAGGGCCTGATCAACTAGGCTGTTACTGCTGGCCGCACGCAGTCCAACGTACGAGCCACAGCCCGGCTGATCCGGCACTGACTTTAGGTATCTGTCCAGCTCTCTCTTGAAGGCAGCCAGGGACTTATTGGCAATTCCCCTAATGCTTGATGGGAGGCTGTTGAACAGTCTTGGGCCCCGGACACTTATGGTGTTTTCCCTTAGTGTACCAATGGCGCCCCTACTTTTAATTGGGGGCATTTTACATCGCCTGCCCAGTCTTTTACTTTCGTATGGAGTAATTTTTGTGTGCAGATTTGGGACCATTCCTTCCAAGATTTTCCAAGTGTAGATTATGATATATCTCTCCCTCCTGCGTTCCAACGAGTACAAGTCAAGTGCTTCCAAGCGTTCCCAGTAGTTAAGGCGCTTGACAGAACTTATACGTGCAGTAAAGGATCTCTGTACACTCTCTAGATCTGCGATTTCACCTGCTTTGAATGGAGATGTTAATGTACAGCAGTATTCCAGCCTAGAGAGAACAAGTGATTTGAAAAGGATCATCATGGGCTTGGCATCTCTCGTTTTGAACGTTCTCATTATCCATCCTATCATTTTCTTTGCACGTGCGATCGTGGCACTGTGACGTAACAGGGTACAGTCTCCTCTGGAGCAGTGAAGCAGTCATCGTAGTAGTCGATGCAGGGTTCATTCAATCTGGGGCACAACCTGCTGGTTCCCTCGAGTGAGGCGTCGTCAGTACTCGGCAACTGGGTAATTGCGGAAAAATGTTCCTGGACAGTTTCTCCTGGGTTCTGCACCTAAGTGGCTGGGCCACTTACCTTCCTTACCCCACCTCCCCTCCACCATCCCAGAAATATCAGGCAACTCAGGCACAGTAAACAGAGGAGTAAAGGCTATTTTGATGAATGAATCAGCGCAGCTTGTAACGACGATGGTGATTAGTTGACAAAATTAATTGCCGGTGCTTTCTGTGTATCTATATATAAGCAGCTTAATGAACGTAGACATGAATTAATTACCGTTAAGATATTATATACAATATTGTAAAAAAAACATAAAAATTGCTTGGAAAGGTGACGAATATATTGTAAAGGAAGTGATATGACTGATAACAGGTCCGTAATACATCAGTCATATCTGCTTACGTGAAGCAGCCTCAGTCTGCACACACACTATAGAGAAGCGCCTTTGACAACCAGTAACTAACATAACAGGCCTAATAATAAGTTAATTAACATTTAACCTACTTAGCTACGTATCTACCTCCCTATCTCTCTTTCTCTCTCTTTCTCCAACGGTTTACACGTTCATTTATTCTGCTTGTAAAGTGATATTACTTGCCAGATGGCAGACTGTTTGTTACTACTGAGAGGCACACTGGTTCACATCACACTGAGAGACACACTGGTTCACATCACACTGAGAGGCACACTGGTTCACATCACACTGAGAGACACACTGGTTCACATCATACTGAGAGGCACACTGGTTCACATCACACTGAGAGACACACTGGTTCACATCACACTGAGAGGCACACTGGTTCACATCGCACTGAGAGACACACTGGTTCACATCACACTGAGAGACACACTGGTTCACATCACACTGAGAGACACACTGGTTCACATCATACTGAGAGGCACACTGGTTCACATCACACTGAGAGACACACTGGTTCACATCACACTGAGAGACACACTGGTTCACATCACACTGAGAGACACACTGGTTCACATCATACTGAGAGGCACACTGGTTCACATCACACTGAGAGACACACTGGTTCACATCATACTGAGAGGCACACTGGTTCACATCACACTGAGAGACACACTGGTTCACATCACACTGAGAGGCACACTGGTTCACATCACACTGAGAGGCACACTGGTTCACATCACACTGAGAGACACACTGGTTCACATCACACTGAGAGGCACACTGGTTCACATCACACTGAGAGGCACACTGGTTCACATCACACTGAGAGGCACACTGGTTCACATGACACTGAGAGACACACTGGTTCACATCACACTGAGAGGCACACTGGTTCACATCACACTGAGAGGCACACTGGTTCACATCACACTGAGAGGCACACTGGTTCACATCACATCACACTAGCGCCCATCCATCCCATTTCTAATGCTACATAAAGTTAGTTTGAATGTTGTTGTTCTTGTTGTTGTTGTTGTTATTGTTGTTGTTGTTGTTGTTGTTGTTGTTGTTGTTGTTGTTGTTGTTGTTGTTGTAGGGTCGACAGTCTTGTACTGGTCCGGGTCTTTTCCAGATGGCGACCCAGCGTTGCCCACCCGGGTGAGGGGTAGTTTGAATGACATTTAATGACAATCTTTGACCTTTAATCCCTAATGATTGACTACTGCATGACAGGTTGACATGATAGATGAGCTTCCACTTTCAGTGTTGCAGGTTTAGCGTTTCTTTTTTTATTGCAATAACAAATGACTTTCAATGTGTGTTACGGTCTATCAGCTGCATAACAAGTACTTTAAGCTGTCAGTTTAACAGCACAGAACAATAATCTACATTAACCTTCTCGAAGAATAGGCTATTAGGGTTATTGATGCTTTTTATTTCGATAGCTTCAAAAATTTATTAGACAAATATCCTTGTAAATGCTGATGAATTTGAATAGGACTTAGGTAATGTTCCTAGGTAATAAAAATATCTTCATCCCTTAAATAAATATTAATGTAAACGTTCAATGTTCAGAGAGAAGTTAGCACTGGGAACGCTTGAAGTTCCTCAACCTGTTCTCCCTACAACGCAGGCGGGAGAGATGCATGATTATATACACTTGGAAAATCATTGAGGTCTTAGTACCAAGCTTGCACACGGAAATCACTCCCTATGAAAGCAAAAGACTCGGCAGACGGTGCCAACATCCCTCCAATGAAAAGCAGGGGTGTCACTAGTACGATAAGAGGCAACACAGTAAGTCAGGGGCCCAAGACTGTTCAGCTGCCTCCCAGCGTACATAAGGGGGATTACCAATAGACCCCTGGCTGTCTTTAAGAAATCGCTGGACAGGCACCTAAAGTCAGTACCTGAGCAGCTGCGCTGTGGTTCGTACGTCGCGTTCCCTGCTGCTAACAGTAATAGCCTGGTTGATCAGGCTCTGATCCACCATGAGGCCTGGTCACAGAGCGGGCCGCGGGGGCGTTCACCTCCGAAACCCTCTCCAGGTATACCTATACCCAGGCCCTCTCCCACATTCACAGTGACATGACCCTAATGGTCGTCTTCAACACTGTATAAATTCTGTTGTGCCTGCTGGAAAATAAGTGAGAAACACAATTATCTTTAATTCCCACTGTGTGACTACCATACGTATCAGACGTATCCAACTGTGCTAGCTAAAACAAGACCTTAGATACATTTGCACACACACACACACACACACACACACACACACACACACACACACACATTTACACACCAGTGCTATTTTTGGGATATGTGAATGACATGAAGGAAGGGATAGACTTAGAAGTGTTCCTGTTTGCAGATGTTGTGAAGTTAAAGACGAGAATTAAATCGGCTGAGAATCACGCAGGACTACAAAGACCTGGATAGGCTGGAAGCCTGGTCCAGCAACTGGCTCTTTGAATTTAACCCTGCCAAATGCAAAGTCATGAAGATCGGGGAAGGGCAAAGAAGACCACAGACAAAGTATGGGCTAGGTGGCCAAAGACTGCAAACCTCACTCAAGAAAAAGGATCTTGGGGTATAATACCGAGCACATCTCATGAGGCGCACATCAATCACATTACTGCCGCAGCATATGTGCTCCTGGCAAATTTGAGAATAACATTCTGATACCTCAATAGGGAATCGTTCAAGACTCTGTACGTCGTGTACGTCAGGCCCATACTGAAGTATGCAGCACCAGTTTGGAATCCACACCTGGTCAAGCACGTCAAGAAATTAGAGAAAGTGCAAAGGTTTGCAACAGGATTAGTTCCACAGATAAGGTAAATGTTCTATGAAGAAAGGTTAAGAGAAATCGGCCTGACGACAATGGAGGACAGAAGGGTTAGGGGAGA